AAAACAAGAACAAAAACAATAGCAATAACAGGAACAAAAACAATAACAAGAACAAGAGCAACAAGAACAACAACAACAACAACAACCAACAACAACAACAACAACCAGAATAACAAGAATAAGAAGTGCTAATAAAAAACAAGAGCACAAACAACTATAACAACTTTAATAACAAGAACAAAAACGAAGACCAGAACAAGAGAAATAATAGCAAGTTCTTGGAAGATCTGGATGCTACCCAAGAAGATCTTGTACTGAACTTTCAATCATCTTGTATGATTTTGGTTGCTATGGAGTAAGACTTTATCCTTTACATTCAATCATCTTGAGTGTTACGGTGTAAGATCGTGCCCTTGACATTCAATCATCTTGGACGCTGCGCTCGAAGCGCTTGTCCTTAACTTTGAACATCTTGGATGATATGCTCTAAAATCTTGTCCATGAATTACAAACATCTTGGATGCTTCGCTGTAAGATCTTACCCTTAATTTTCAATCACCTTTGATGCTACGGTGTAAGATCGTGCCCTGAACTTTCAATCCTCTTGAATGCTACTGTGTAAGCCTTGTCCTTAACTTGCAAACATGTTGGGTGATACGCTGTAAGGGGGTGTTGGATGGTACGCTGTAAGCTGTTGTCCTTAGCCTTCAAACATCTTGGATGCAAGCATGTAAGATCTTGTCCATAAATTACAAACATCATTGGTGCTTCGGCGTAAGATCTTGTGCTTTCAAACATCTTGGGCGCTACAGAGCCAGATCTTGTCCTTAACTTTCGATCATCCTTGATGCTACGCTGTCAGATCGCAGCCGGATCTTGCAATCATCTGGGATGCTACCGTGTAAGATTTTGTCCTTGACTTGCAAATCTTTGTTGCTACGAAGCAAGATCTTGTCCTTAACCTTCAAACATGTCGGATGCTACGCTCCAAGATTCTGTTTTTCTTGTCCCTAACCCTCAAACATGTTGGATGATACGCTGTAAGTTTTGTCCTTGACGAACAAGAACAAGAACCAGAACAAGAGAAAGAACCATAACCACAAGATTAGAAACAAGAACCACAACATCAGCAACAACAACAGCAGCAGCAACAACAAGAACAAAAATAACAATAACAAAACACAATAGTTAAACAACAAGAGCAAGAACAGCGATAACAACATTAACAACAAGAACACGAACGAAAACGAGAACAAGATAAATAATAACAAGTTCTTGGAAGATCTGGATGCTGCCCAAGAAGATCTTGTCCTGAACTCTCAAGCATCTTGTATGATTTTGTTTGCTATGGAGTAAGACTTTGTCCTTAACTTTCAATCATCTTGGGTGCTACGGTGTAAGATCGTGCCCTTGACATTCAATCATCTTGGACGCTACGCTCGAAGAGCTTGTCCTTAACTTTGAACATCTTGGAAGCTATGCCCTAAGACCTTGTTCTTGAATTACAAACATCTTGAATCTGGGATGCCACGCTGTAAGACCTTGCCCTTAATCTTCAAACACCTTTGATGCAACGGTGTCAGGTCTTGTCCTTAAGTTCTAAACATGCTTGATGCTACTTTGCAAGATCCTCTCCTTAACTTTCCAGCATCTTGGATGTTACGGTGCAAGATTCTGTCCTTAACTTTCAAACATGTTTGATGCTATGCTGAAAGGCCTTGTCCTTAACTTTCAATCATTATGGATTGTACGGTGTAAGATCTTGTCCTTAACTTTCAACCATCTTGGATAACACGCTGTAAGACCTGTCCTTAACTTTCAATCATCTTGGGTGCTACGCTGTCAGGTCTTGTCCCCACCCTTCAGACATGTTGGATGATACGCTGCAAGTTCTCGTCCTTGCCTTACAAAAACAAAAACCGCAACAGCAAAAACAAGATTAAGACTCTGGTCAAGATGGAGATTTTTCCTTCAACCAATCTATTGATGGTCGGCTTCAAAACTCCGCAGGGCCTGGTTTATAATATTTGATAGAGGTATGACGATGGAATTCAAACCTCCACCAGTTAGAATATACCCTTTTCATCAATGATGACATGCCCAATAACCAAAGTTATAAGTTATAACACACTCAAAGATGTTATGACCCGCGAAACGGCGACTTACAAACCACGCTTGTTAATCACCTACTAAGGTAAACCATCATTAAACAACCCACAAAAATTACTAAACAGGTAGTCGTAAGTTCGCTGGCTGCAGGTGAGCGCTGGCCCTCAAATACAAACAATCTGGCCCTTTGTTTTTTCTCCGAAACCGCTTTTATACCTATGTTTCAATCGGTATTTGAAAAAAAGTAAAATCTACAAAATAACTTTTTTTTTCCCCCAAGATGGCATGTCTCAAAGAGCTGCAAAGTGCCAAAGCGTCACAGAGCCGCGAAGTCTCAAAGCGCCAAGAAGCGCCAAAGCGTCAAAGAGCCGCAAAGCGCCAAAGGGCCAAGAGGCACCAAAGCATCAAGAGCGCAAAGCGCCAAAGCGCCAAAGCGCCAAAGCGTCAAAGAGCCGCAAAGCGCCAAAGGGCCAAGAGGCACCAAAGCATCAAGAGCGCCAAGCGCCAAAGCGCCAAAGCGCCAAAGCGCCAAAGCGCCAAAGCGCCAAAGCGCCAAAGCGCCAAAGCATCCAAGCGTTCAGGCTTTGAGGCTTTGAGGCTTTGAGGCGTCGGAAAAGCGTCAAGAAGCGCCAAAGTGTGCAAGAACCGCCAAGCGCCAAAGCGCTAAAGCGCCAAAGCATCCAAGTGTTCAGGCTTTGAGGCTTTGAGGCTTTGAGGCGTCGGAAAAGCGTCAAGAAGCGCCAAAGCCTGAAAGAGCCGCCAAGCGCCAAAGCGCCAAAGCGCAAAAGCATCCAAGCGTTCAGGCTTTGAGGCTTTGAGGCTTTGAAGCGTGAGGCGCCAAAGAGGCTTTGCAGCTTTGAGGCTTTGAGGCTTTGAGGCGTGAGGCGCCAGAGAGGCTTTGGAGCTTTGAGGCTTTGAGGCGTGAGGCGCCAAAGAGGCTTTGCAGCTTTGAGGCTTTGAAGCTTTGAGGCGTGAAGCGCCAAAGAGGCTTTGCAGCTTTGAGGCTTGGCAAACCTTAGCGGGCCTGATCCCCCATACTCTGAGAGAAACAGAGTATGGGGGATCAGGCCCGCTAAACATTGAAACGAAAGAAGGACTTCGATTGAAAGCCAGGAGGAGTCTAACGAAAGAGAGAGGTTGCAAACGAATGTGAGGAGTCGAACGAAACAAGACAGGGCTTGAACGAAAGAGGACAGGCTCTGACGGAAGAGGACAGACTCTGACGGAAGAAGGTGGGCTTCAACGGAAGAGGATAGACCCGAACGGAAGACTCTTAGCGGAAGACTCTTGTAACGGAAAGGATGGATCCGAACGGAACAGGACAGGGCGCTAGCCTAGCAGAAGAGAATAGACTCTAACGATCCCCCTTGGAATTTTTTAGGGGTACCTGTCCAACGTCAAGGTTTGCGATTTTATCGTGGACGTTGGTGTCAGCAATTCTATAGAGATTTCATGTTGAAAACAGCATTGGGTACTAGTAAGCTAAGAGTCTTGTCACATCTGTGAGGGAACATCTACCAACAAGGCTATCAGATAAACATCATCATCATCATCATCAGCATCAGCATCATCATCATCATCATCATCATCATTTGAGCCACGAAAAAACCTCAATGTATTGTTTATGTAAGGGAGTTATACTACATCACTTTCGCGAAACAGAAATGCTGGGTCGCGAAAGATCGCGAAAGTAATTTGCTTCGCGAAAGGTCGCGAAAGAGAAGTTTAAGATATTTCAAATCGTTTGTTTTGTTCAAGATGGTATGTCTTAGAGACGTTTCGAAGCTGACAGGCGTCAAGAAGCTGAGAGGTGTCAAGAAGCTTAGAAGCGTTTAGAGGCTTAGAGGCGTTTAGAGGCTTCGAGGCGTTTAGTGGCTTCGAGGCGTTTGGAGGCTTAGAGGCGTTTAGAGCCTTAGAGGTGTCAAGAAGCTTAGAAGCGTTTAGAGGCTTAGATGCTTAGAGACTTAGAGGCGTTTAGAGGCGTTTAGAGGCTTAGAGGCGTTTAGAGGCTTAGAGGCTTAGAGGCGTTTAGAGGCTTAGGCGTTTAGAGGCTTAGAGGCGTTTAGAGACGTTTAGAGGCTTAGGGGCGTTTAGAGGCTTAGAGGTGTTTAGAGGCTTAGAGGCGTTTAGAGGCTTAGAGGCGTTTACAGGCTTAGAGGCTTAGAGGCGTTTAGAGGCTTAGAGGCGTTTAGAGGCTTAGAGGCGTTTAGAGGCTTAGAGGCTTAGAGGCTTAGAGGCGTTTAGAGGCTTAGAGGCTTAGAGGCGTTTAGAGGCTTAGAGGCGTTTAGAGGCGTTTAGAGGCGTTTAGAGGCTCTTAGAGGCGTTTAGAGGCTTAGAGGCGTTTAGAGGCTTAGAGGCGTTTAGAGGCTTAGAGGCTTAGAGGCGTTTAGAGGCTTAGAGGCTTAGAGGCTTAGAGGCGTTTAGAGGCTTAGAGGCTTAGAGGCGTTTAGAGGCTTAGAGGCTTAGAGGCGTTTAGAGGCTTAGAGGCTTACGGGCTGCCTCCGGACATTAGAGACTTAGAGGCTTAGAGGCTTACAGGCTGCCTCCGGACATTAGAGGCTTAGAGGCTTACAGGCTGCCTCCAGACATTAGAGGCTTAGAGGCTGGCGACGAACTGGAACCCCCCCTCCCGCTACGATGTGATGGAAGGGAAGCACCCCAAAAGACACTAGTTCATCTAGTTCCATCGGGGATCAAGTACCTCGGGTCACAGTACACCTGCTCTCTCGGTTGTTACATGTTGTCACACTGATTCTGCCGTACTTCTAGCACCCTTCGAGTAAAGGTTAAACATGGTTAAACACACTCGTTTTGTTGCTACAGTATGCTAGTCAATGCTTCATGCATGCTATGCTTTACAGTGCTCTATTGGCTGTGGCTATCACGTAAAACGGCTGTCTGCCCAGAGGTCTTGCCTGGTTTTTTTTCTGCTTCTGACATGCTTTTCTGAGGATGTGGGTGAGACTGGTGGAACACCTGATGTGCACTCGGGCAGCAGGTTGCAGCTTTCTGGGTGCAACAAGACTAGTTATATGTTGAAAAATGTTGAAAAGTTGAACAATGACTGTTGGTTGAAGGTGTGGAAGGTGTGGCGGTTCTTTCCTGCCTAAAATGGCACAGCCACGTGGACCGATGCAAGGGATTGATCGGGGAGAAAAAACCGCAGTCCGCAGCCAAGGCAACAAGCAACTCGGCAGGGGACAGCTTGGACGCCGGCAACCGTGGACTGGTGCAGGTAGGATTCCTGTAGGATATGCAAAAATGATCAAACATGTGTGTTCATTTTATTTTAAGCTTAAACTGTGTTTTTTTGGTGATTAGTCGGCATTTGTCAGTTTTGCATTGCAGACATTTTTTTTTAAAGATGTTTTGCGCTCATTGCCATTCACAGCATGACACGTCGCATGCACATGGGATGGTGACAGAACATGTAATTACTGTAAGATCATTTTTTGATTTTCTCAGCTGAATGCAGCCTTAAGCCATTGAGCCTGTGGATTGTTTCTGATTTTCAGTTTTGCCCCCTTCCGTTCCGTTGGCAGGTGGATTTTCCTCATATTGGACGATCCTGAGCATTTCATCATCGGCAAAGTTACTTGGAATCTAGGGGACGATGCTTGCGTGAAGGTGCTGTAGGTGTCAAAGCTGGTTGGAGTACGTGCTTGGGCACCTCAGGATGTGTTGCACATGTCAGGGCAAGAAACGGAAGGTTGTTGAACTACAGTTCATCGTTGCAGAGAGATCAGAGCACAGTGTTCAATCTTTGGAACAATCCTTTAACATGCAACTTGAGCTGGAGGTTTGCACAGGTACTTACAGGCGTTTGACAAAGCGGAAGATGTTGCAGGATGTGGCGTGTGTTTGGTGATTTCCGCTTGTGCTATGACATCATTTGTGGTTTGGATCGTGGCTCCAAAGTGACGAATGTGACAAACAAAATATTGTTTAAAGGAAAGGTTCTTTGTGTGAACTTGGGGTTGAACAGCAAGAATTGGGAGAGAACCCTCTCCCCTTTGTTGCCCTTTGCCGAGTCCCAAATGCTTTCTAAACCTGTCTACACCTGAGGTTATCTCAGCTTTCATCATACTCACCATTTTGGTCAGCACAACCACTTTCATCCTGGAGTCACTTGGGCAGTAAGTCTCATTGCCAAAATTGCTGCCAGTTTTTGAGCTTCAAATTGCTGGAGCCTGCGCATTGACCGGGTCCCAGGTCCATGCCCAGCTTTCAGCATCGACCTGCGCTTTGTGAAGAGTTGTTGCTGGCAGGGCAGCCAATCACCAAAATCGCTTGCGAACCAGCACCCTGGCCGCAGGAAGCCTGGAATGGAAGCGGGTGCATCATGTGGGGATTCAGCAGATTGACTCAGATTGACTCAGATTGACTCATCAATCAGCTGAATCGAGTCATAAACCGGAGTTTTTGAATGGAAATATTCACAATTACTGTAGCTGTCAGAGGCCTTGTCACCATTGATACTTCACTAATTGAAATCAATATGATCCAGTGTAGAAAGCGCAAGTGGTTGCAATTTTAATCAATCATGCCAAGGTGCCAGATGAAAGTTTCTTCTACTTGGAAATAGCCGCTTGGCTTCGAAATGCAAAGCGCCCTCCATCAATTCAGTTGCCTTCTAAGATTTGCAGCCTGTTCAGCTTCATTTTTAAGAACTCACCCTCTGAAGGTGTGCATTGCCATCTTCACAATCGAATATTTGGCTGGGACCTCAATGGTTTCACATCTGTCGATGTCTAACTTTCCTCAAAGTTCTGGTGACTCGAGCCCTGAGCATGACCAGACACATGTACATGAGCGATGGTTTCTCCAAATCATCATGTCAGCAGGATGTTGATATGTATATTATATAGGTTATTGATTGCTACATGCAAGTACACGCTTTGATACACTGGATTCTGCTTTTATTATAGTTAAAGAAATCTTATTATAGTAATAAAAAACCGTGTTATTGTTGTATTTATAGCTATCATCTATCATCATCTATTGTTGGATTTACTATAAACCATTATAATCATAGATAATCTTACCATAACCATTTATGTTGGATCATTATAACCATTTACTATAAACCATTATAATCATAGATGATCTTAAATTATAACCATAATCATAGATTTACTATAAACCATTATAACCATTATTTCCCCAATGATCATTGTTATGCCATTCGCAGGCGCGGCTCCTCACGTGCCACACGGAGCCGAACTTCGGCGGCAGCGCAGTGGGGCGGACCCTTCGCTATGCCAGGTGGGGCTCGGGAGGAGTTACTGATCTGTAGTGGATGATATGTAGATTTACATAGATTTACTATAAACCAAATATGGGTATGGATCAATACCTATTAATACCATTTTTAGGGAGATGAACATCCATTTACCAGCTATTTTGATGTTCACCAGGGGTACAAGGTTTTGACACACTGCCATATGTGATACCATCTGGTTATTTAACATAGCCATGGAAAATCACCAGTTTTAACAGGTAAACCCAGTTGTTCACCATCTATTTCTATGGGCCATCTATACCATGGAGAAATGTTAAATAACCAGAGGGTGTGTAGATTTACTATAAACCAAATATGATCATCATCATAATCATAATCTATCCACATATCATCCATAAAATATATGATTTATGTAGTTTATGTAGTGGATGATTTACTCTAATCCATGATAATCTGGGTAAAAGAAGAATAAACCATCCCCCAAATCACATCAAATCACCATAAATAGGTGGTATATATCATTCCCGGTCGTGGGTTGTTTATTTTTGTGTTACCCACATGGGACACCATTAGGAAGCAAAATGTCAGAATCTGGATGATGTTTAGATGGATGAGATCATAGCAGTCGGATGATATTAGATACAGATTGATCATAGCATGGCTGGATGGATAGATATGATGCATCTCAGAAAGCAAGTTGATGCAAGACTATTGTGTTGGACATGATTGTGACATGAACAGTGGAAAGTGTTGGGTACCCTCCAGTAAATTAACATAGACCCTGAAAATCACCCATTTTTAATGGAACTAGTCTTCCAACCCCTATCTGCCAGGGTCTATGTTAATTTACCAGAGGGTAACTTGGAATCTGGCGGCGGCTATTGAGCAAAATAATGTTGCACGCTTCCATGATCTTCCATGTCATGTCACACCACTGGATACCTGGCAGGACGCCTTTGAATATCATTGACATCCTGGTGGCTGGGCACATGAAAAGATGACCAGAGAGATGCAGCGTACTTCACTGCTGCATTTACTACAGCGAAGCTTTGTGTCAGCATCTGCTTCCACATTGGTCACTCCAAAGATGGCGGATTCCAAGGCGGTTGCTCCTTTTTACTTGGGCTTTTTGCTTGGCAATTCGGTGAGCTCTTTGCGCGTGTTGCGGCTCTTCCGGGCTTGGCTCTCAGACCCTGAGTTCTTTTTATGTCCTTGCTGCAGCCTTGCTTCAATTGTATTCAACTAGATTGGAACATATTGGAACATATTGGAACATGAACTTGCGGATACTTGTTTTATTTCCGGATTATATATATATATATATGTGTGTGTGTGTACGTATGTATGGTCTGATATATACCCATATTTCCGGATACTTCTGCATGTAGGAGGCTTCTTTGGACTGCCATAGTCCAAAGCTTGCAACTTCATCTCAGGTGGTGAGACTTTTCAAGTTGGCAAAGCACCATGGAGGCCTGAGAGACCTATTTTGAATCCTTGCAACATGTGGCAAAATCAAGCCGTAGCTCCTGTGCAGGCATTCGGCTGATTCTCGAAGCCATGGCCAATAGTGGCTTTACTCTGGCAATCTTAATGTGAGCAGCTCAAGACGTCCGGATTCAGTTAGGAGATGCTAAGAATGATGCAGGGCACCAATAGTTTTGGGTAGTTTTGTTCCCATGTCCTGCGCACCGGGTCTCAATGCAGTGGATTGATGTCCAACGTGGCTGAAATTGGTGCCACCAAACGCGAAATGCTTCAGGTTTTTCAATGTCATTGTTGGCCTCTTCTTCGCGTGTGCTACCTGACTGCACTTACAAAAGGCAAATGAACTTTGCAATATAGTGCAATGTCATGAAGATATGAAAGTATCATGCGATATCTATGTATACAGCTGGTTGCGTCGCGCGTGTTCTTGTTGAGGTCATATACTACATGGAGGGCCAGCAATTTTCGGCACCAGCCTCATGTTTTTTATGGAGCTCAGCGCAGTCAAAGCTACAGTCATAGGAGTTGGTTTCTGCAAGGTAGCCGAAGAGTTTACCCGTCCAACAGTAGATGCCTACAACAATACAGTTCCTTGGCGGGTCGCAGGTGGTCACGGCCGTCCAAGTGGTCGGATTTGGGCCCCTTACAACTCATTGCATGTTCAGAGCACTTTGGCACTCGGAGATCGGTTTTCTGCCATGATTCAAATACTGTTTCCGCGTTAATTTCCGTCGGCTTTGGGTTAAGGTTCCTGCTCCGCACCCTTTTGGTGTCTATGTTCGCACAGACGCGCAGGCGGCAATTCCACCTGAAAATGATGCGTCGACAAATTCACTGAGTTTCAGATGTTTGAATGTTTGTCGCATGGCAGGGCGTGCGCCAGATTGAGACACCCTTCCGTTCCATTCCCATATGTCTCTGGTGGGTATTTACCACGATGACTACAGTTGGTGCCATGCTTGCAGATTGGTGTCATGATGATGTCAATGATGTCATTACATTACATCTTCATCAGTTCTTTTGAGCAAGAGAAGCGATAGTGGCAGCGTGTCAAAGCTCTCTAGACCCAAAGATGATGGGCGATTGGCTCACCTGCAACTAAGGATATGGCGATATGGTTCCAACTACACCTTTAGGTGGGAGCGAACAGAAGAAATTTTGCCTCAGATTCCTGGTAGAAGTCATGAATAGTCAATTGCTTTACATGTTTTACTGGAGACCACATGCGGGAAATCTATGGTAATATGAGGTAGCAGCTATGAATTGTCATG